ACAGACCCAGAGATAAGGCAATCGTGGAAAACAATCATTCTCAACTGAGGGATTGCTGATGCTGATGCTGAGATCCCATCATGCCTTTACCTGCACGCATACTGGCCAAGGTCTCAGCACTCCTGCTGACCGGGCAGTTTGGAATCGCACTGTAACACAAACCATCAGCGCTGCTCACAGGAGTCCTGGGCTCCCTTCTCTTTTTCTTTCCCTTCTTACATTGTTTCCAACCAGGGCAGTAAATTCTTTGCAAAGATTTTTCCCTTGCTTTGCCTCCTCAGCTGAGCTCTAAAACCTTGAACAACATGCCCCCTAGCGTTCATCAGAGCTAAATGAAGAGAAGCAGAAGCTTGACCACTTGACCACAAAGTTGAACTAGCTGGAAAAATTCCAACAAATTATTTTTTTAAAAAATCTGGATTCCCCGATTTCCCAAAATTTAACCCTTTGGTGGCAGTGGTCTGATTTCCAGGTTCTGGCAGAGCCCAAGCAGGTTAAAAAATGTTCCTGGTTTCCCTCCCAGCTTCTCAGCCAGCTCCCTGTCACTCACCAGGTAGGCTCATAGGAAGCCAGAAGTTCCTAGCTCCCACAGGGTCATATCTCTTGGCGGCCCAGGTTCTTAGGGCTTTTGGGGTCCTTGGCTTTGGGACAGCCTACCAGACAGACTGCCTCAGAGTCAGAACACTAGGGCTTCCAGGGTCCATGGCCCCAGTGCAGCCTGCTACATGGATACGGACTGCCTGGAAGTCAGGGACCCAGGGTATGCAGCTCCAGCCCAGCCCAGCACAAGGACTGTCATGATCCAGGCACAGTCCATGCTACCCACACCCTAGATCAGTCCCCCACTGCAGACTGATCCTATTCTGGGGCTCCTGCCTCCTTTACAGAGAATTTAAAACTTTGGGTTTTCATTCCAAATCACAAGGACACCACATGTTAAAAAAAAATTATCAAAACCCTCCATTAAATAGCTCTACCCAGCTCTACTAGGACATACACGGCTAGCTTAGAGCACTCACTGAGGCCTGATTGACTTGCCATTTTTGTATTACTGTTCTGTATTGCACTTAGGGGCATGATTTTTTTTAACCTAAATAGTGATATCAGTAAAACCCAGATGTACTGGTAGAAAAACATGTTCACCAGTGTAGTAAGTTCCATTCCCATAAAGGAATAGCTAGACTAGTATAAGAACTGGTTATAATGCTATTATGCCTTGCAATTGTTATATACTAGCAGGGGCAGATCCAGGAGGGTAAAGTGGTACAGTAGAAATCCCCTTTGATTCCT